TCAAGTATCTCAAGGTTTTTGGATGTTTGGCATATGCCCACGTGCCGGATCCATTGAGAAAGAAGTTGGATGATAAAGGTGAGAAGTGCATATTCATTGGTTATAGTGACGCTTCAAAGGCTTATAAACTATACAATCCTGAAACTAAGAAGGTTGTTATAAGTCGTGATGTCACTTTTGATGAATATGGTGCCTGGGATTGGTTAGCTAAAGATGAAAGTTCAGTTGTTATTCCTGTTGTTGAAAATATTGTTGATGAGCAACCGATTCCAGATAATGTCCAGTCTCCCTCACAGCCAGAATCGTCAGTTCGGCGATCTCAGCGCGAGCGCCACTTACCAGCTCGCTTGCAAGATTATGTTTTGGGTCATGATAATGACCTGTCTGATGAAGAGATTGTTCAATTTGCTCTCTTTGCATATTGTGATCCTTTAACTTTTGAGGAGGCTGCTACAGAAACTCATTGGCTTAAGGCGATGGATGAGGAGGTACGTGCCATTGAGAAGAATGGTACCTGGGAGTTAACAGATTTACCTCCGGGAAAGAAGCCAATTGGAGTCAAGTGGCTTTACAGAACGAAATACAAGTCAGTATATCCAACTTGAAGACGGAGACATTTCTTAAATTGAAGAAGGAGATATTGGGATGACCAATATATCCAACTTGGTTTAAAGGGGACAATGTTATAATAATAATAATAATATTATTATTATTAGTAATGGTTAAACCAAGTATTAAATTAGTTTGTTATGAATAATGCATGGATGCAGTAGGTGGGTTATGCATGGTATCACTACATAGATTGTTGCCTTAATTATAGCTTTACATGGAGCATTACTCCTAATCTTTAGCTTTATTAGTGGTTATCTTTTAGTATAAATAAGTTACTATTGTTCATTCATTAATCATCAATCAAGTTATATATTCCTCTCTCTCTCTCTTCTCAATATATAAATATAATATATAGATATTATATTTAATATATATTATAGATATATTATATTATATTTAATATATATATTATATTAAATATATTATATTTAATATATCTAACAAAATTGTTGGTGCCCAGTTGTTTGAAATTTTGGACATTCAATTTTGGTCCCACTTCTTGTTCACCACAATTTTTTTTTGTCCAAATCTTATGGTCACCACATCAACCTAGTAAGACCCCAGGGTCATGTCGTTGGAAATGAAAGGACGCATATTTGCGTTAGGCATACTAACATCAAGTATTGCATCTCCAGATTTGATTTGTGAGAAAATATTATATTATTTTTATTTTTTAGTTTTATAATAATCGACTTAATATAAACCTATTATTGGTAATTTGGTTTGTTATGGTTTTACGGAAAGTACAAGTATAAGAAATCCAACAATATTTATTTATGTAATAAACTAATCACTCCTAACATTTTATAACAAATCACAAGGACGTGATGGCATTGTATAGCAGTAAAGTATCCAAAATGAGACAGAAGATAATTTAGCAGAATCCTACATTGAATATTGACTAAACATGCAAATCAACTTTGTTCCCTCCTAGTTTTATTTTCCTTATCTTCACAATCAACACGTCGGTCGTCGGTGGACTGCTGCACCTTTAATCCAAAAGAAAAAATGAAAAGTCCCAAAAAAAGGTAACGTTGTGGGGAATATATCATTCTTATATTTAATGGTCACAAATTTAATTTTTGCTAACACATTTTCAGTTTAGCTCATTGTACAGAGTTGTTTTAATACAAATTGACTTTTACTTACTATGTAGTTTACCAGCTATTATAAAAAATGGTTCAACCTAATACATAACCTCGAATAGTGAATGCAGATTTTTCTTTGACATTCTTTCTCACACGAGTTTTGTTCACTGGTTTAGTATGCAGTATTTAGGACGAGACTAAATTCAAAAATCGATAGCGACAGTGTGGGATTATGCCTAAAGTGTACAAATTTCTTTCGCGCACCGACGTTTGACAATCTCTACTGAATTACCATAATTTATATCTCCAAATGCTAGGTCGGCCCAAGGTGTGGGGCTTTTCTGGTTGGAGATTTAACCTTTTGAGGTAAGGTTACTCACTACTAGAAATTATGGAATTTCCGACTACTTGAAAGTGTTCTTAAATCAAGTCGAAAGCCTTGTTCCGACCACTTTTTGGTATCTGGAAAAATCTTTGTTGCTATTTTCGACCACTTTTTGATTTTGACTTGATTTAAAATCACTTTCATGTGGTCGGAAATTCAAAAATTTTCAATAGTGACTTGATTTAAAGCCGTGGATGACCGTCCGATCTGATTGAATCTAAAGCTCTCACGGCGGCCATGAGGCTGAGTAGGATTGAGATGGGAGGCACATGCGTTACGTTACTAATACGTCAATTTCTTGCCAATTCATGTGTGGTATATTAGGTGTAAAAGTGTGTGATGGTGTCATTATACTTAGCTTATTAGGTGACCATGAAACCAATCAAAGAAACAACAAAAGATTCAAGAAACATGAAATTCAAACCATGTGGAATGGATGCAAACTAATGGCTTGTCACATGACAATAACGTACTTAATTCGACTACAAACAAAACCCTTAAGTATGTTCAATGCATTAGTGATTGAAAAGAAAAAATGGTACAAGGTAATTTTCTTCATTAAAAATGAGTAGTAAAGGAAGATACATGATACAAATTATCAAATTTATGAGTGTAGATTTAACTGAAATATAAATATTTTGGTTCAGATTTTATCAATATTTTATGTGGGATGTATCATCATTTCTTCTTCAAAGTATGTAGTGTCAAATAAAGTTTAGCAAAAAGTGATTCATTAGTGATCGTTGATAGCGCTTCGAAAGGAAGAATTGAGAGGAATCTTCTACATCTTAATAGCGTTAGAACATGGTTTGAATTGGTAGGGATGGATTAATATTGGTGTTTTTAATTTTTCCTATATTCATCAAAAGGCAAATTATTATTATTATTATTATTATTATTATTATTATTATTATTATTTGCGAATTAAATTGCAACACCGCATATAACTGAAGCAATTTGATTTGCGAGTTATGAAGGACCAACATTGTATTAAGTCCTTCTAATAATTGTTACTCTATTAGTATGAATATTTTTTTTTGAATGTCTATTAGTATGAATATATTTCTCTTGTTATTTAAAAATAGATACAGTTATCCTGGATTGAAGAATTGAACAAAACAATTTTTTTACTAATAAATGAATAACAATGTCGGATGTTGGATCCAACAATATAATCCTATGAACTTCCCAGGAAATCTGTTTTGTCTGATTTCATTATTTTTTTTAATAAAATAATTAATCTTTTAATTTTCTTAAATACATATTGTCGGACGTTGGCACTCATTCTTCCCCAAGTTTCATCATCAAAATCTCTCTCTCTCTCTCTCTCTCTCTCTCTCTATATATATATATATATATATATATATATATATATATATATATATATATATATATATATATATATATATATATATATATATATATATATATATATATATATATAGGCGAGTCCAGCTGCGGCAGTGTCTTACGGTGCGGCGGTGCGGCAACACCAATAGTTCAACAAATATGCACCATCAACGTTAGGAAAATACACCACAAAAAACAGAGTAAACAGAGCCCCGCATCACCAACACACACCATTAGGTGTGAGTAAAAACACCATACACTGTTCGGAAATACACCATTAGGGTAGTGAGTTATATGGTGTATTTTTTTGAGTCTGTTGTGTATTTTGTGATATTTTATTGCATTTCATTGTGGTGTGTTTCTCTTACACATTTGGTGCATATTGTTAACACTGTTGGTGTATTCTGGAATTCCGCCGCACGGGAAGACCCCGCCACATTTGAACTTTATTATATATATATATATATATATATATATATATATATATATATATATATATATATATATATATATATATATATATATATATATATATATATATATATATATATATATATCATGGTTGTATTAGGCGCTAGTCAGGCGCTTAGGCAGCGCCTAAGCGGAATCTAGGCGGCGTTAGACCGGCGCCAAAAAAATAGTGACAGACTTGCAATTTGACAATTTTAATGAGGCTGTTTTCAACATTCAATCAAATAACACATCCAAATAAATGAAATATTGAAATACTTCAAAACATTAAGTCGTAACATCAAAATAATATTAAAAATTAAAAATACTCAAATACTTCAATCATCCAAAGATTCAAAGTATCAAACTAGTCTACGAGTCTATATATGTCATATTATATATATGTATGTACACACACACACACATATATATATATAAAGAAAAAATATTAGCAAGACCAATTTGATCGGGTTAACTCGACCGAAACAGACGAGTTAACTCGGCTAAGTTAGACGCTAGGAGGCGGCCAAGTTGGCCGAGTTAGGCGTTAGGCGGCCGGTCACCTTGGCGGGCGCCTAGTGGAGAAATCGCCACGATTTAGGTGGCCTAGCGCCTAGGCGGGATCTAGGCGGGCGCTTAGACCGATTTTTGCAAGAGTGATATATATAGAGGAGAAAATGTTAGAGCATTAAGTTTAATTTTTTTTTTTAAATGAGCATTAAGTTTAATTAATATGTCGATAATTTTAATTATACCAAAGCTAACTAAAAAATAAAGACTGGATTCATGAATTATAAACTGGTCAAATATTCATTCATGAACCAATGTAACGACAGTCAAAATATGAAATGGTTCCAGCAATAAAAAAATTAAATGGATTGCATTGCACTATTTTTTTCAAGTTCAAGATTTTATTATTTTTTTTTGAAGGGAGTTCAAGATTTTATTTAAGCCTTCTTTAATTTAAAAACATAATTATATATTTTTGGACAAATTAGAAGAACAATCTTAAGAGCTCATTTTTCCCTTATAAGTTATAAACAGGCCTTTCAGCTCTAGAAACATGGGCTTAGGTCCACGTAACCCAACACCAAATCTCAAATGTATATGATTTGTACATCAGAGAAAATAAAGAATCAAATATATACTTTATCACACACTCATGTCACTAGAATACAAGGCATTTACAGCATACACAAAATCAGTCAACCCAGCACAATATATACAGATAAAAAAGGGGGAAATTATGAAAGAATGCACCAAGAGAAGTTCTATGAAGATAGAGATGACAACGGGCGATTTAGATCGACTCCCTTCTCCAAATGGATCAGAAGAAGATCCTCGTCGGTGCCAAAGGATTTGCGCGCCTCTGCTAGCCGCCTTGAAGTAACCTTTTCATGTTTCCTGAACAACATGCAGAACGTTAACGCAATCCTCGTACAAATGCTATGATGCATGCAGAAGATTGAAGCGTAAAAGGAGCGAAAAAAAAAAAAAAAAACAAAACAAAACCTCGAGCTTGCTGGATCTCGTATCTCGAATTCATCCATGGCTGCATCGTAGCCACAGATGACAACATAGTGACCTGTAGAAAATATTAAACAAACACTTATATCAAGGTGACGACTTCGGTTTGGTCTGAGACAAGTTCGTTTTGTGATATCATGTCATGACTCATGAGCCTCTCAGTATTTTTAAGCAGTGATACGTTCTGTTTCAACTAAAAGTCTAAACTGATAGTCGGACTAGTATTTGGTAAGGAGTGATACGTTCTGTTTCAACTAAAAGCCTAAGTTGATAGTCTGACTAGTATTTGGTAAGCAGTGATACGTTCTGTTTCAACTAAAAGTCTAAGTTAATAGTCAGACTAGTATTTGGTAAGCAGTGATACGTTCTGTTTCAACTAAAAGTCTAAGCTGATAGTAGAACTACTATTTGGTAAGCAGAGATACGTTCTGTTTCAACTAAAAGTCTAAGTTGATAGTCGGACTAGTATTTGGTAAGCAGTGATACGTTATGTTTCAACTAAAAGTCTAAGCTGATAGTTGGACTACACATTTATAGTTTATATATTATATGCTCAATACAGGCGAAGTATAGATGGATAGGGATAGGATTAGTTCTCACCAGTATAACCCGGGCTCTTGGGGTAGAAGTTTTGAATACAACCATCCTCCGACCAATAATGACTGCATAAAACAATGGTATATACGTTGACCATAAGGCATATGTAGTAGCTAGGTCGAAAGAAGGCGAGCCGGGACTTATTGGTGGGAGGATAAGTACGTGTATACGGTGTACCTTAGCTTGTGATGATCAACTAACGCTATTGCAATGCAATTCCCGGACAATATTAACATACACATTTCTTCTCCGCTAATTGACCTGCACTGCGAAAACGAAGATATGTATATATAAACTCAAAATGACAACACAGTTACACAAGTAATGAAGCGTAAAATAGGGCCCGGGGTGGAGATCGAGTATAAAGAAAAAGATTAGATACAGACAGAGAAAACATACCTCAATGTTAATTCCCGCCTCTCGTGCCTTCTGAAATAGCGTATTCACTCGGGCAAGATCACTAGGCAACTGCTCCTGCAAATTGGATGGTTTGGTTACATACAAATAATGCAGAAACTCTTTAGATCTTTAAAGTAATCACCTTGTAAAATGTCTCGACGCAAAAGTTTGGATTGGCTCCTATCGTGATCGTAAAGTAGGAAAAGTTAACTGAAAATTTCCGCAACATGTATGCTAGGTCTACTGTCCAAATGCTGTGACCAATAAAGAAAAATCACTATGGCTCATGCCTGCTTATAAATCTTCGAGGCAAACAGAAATACAAGAGAAATTCTTGGTTATAACAAAACGAATTAAGCAGTCGTATATCAGCTAAAGATCCGATGTCTTATAAGTTATAAATAGTACCTTGTGGTAGAGCAGGACTGTGCCAATTCCTCAATATTACTATTGTAAATCCCGAGAGTTCTCAAAACCATTACAACACAAGCAAGACCACAATCCCATGTATATAGTTGCTTAACATGTGGCACCTATAGTCACGACACAAATATTAACATGAAATCGAGACTGGCTAGAGCTTCTAAACGCTTAAACTAACAAACTAACTCACTTCAACCGAGAATGATTTGGAGGACAGAACGGCTTTGCTTTCCACTCTATCCAGTGACTGTTTAAAGGGGAACGAACCGACCAAAGCAAACTCATTCCCCGCTGGTTGCTGAGCATCTTCGTCGTCTGATCTCATGAACTTGCTTAGGAGAATACAGAAAGGCCACACGTGTGACCAACTGATCTGATGCATTTGTTCTCAAAACCGTATGGCTAATCTCAGCAGTTGAGACGAACGTTCATCATCAGAATTCAGAAAAGTTGCAAAACTGGGACACCTTAAAGATTTGTCTTTTTTAGCCTCTTTATTGAAATCAATGGTGGGAATAATGATTCAATGGTCTGCAAACACAAGTAGGTAATGGAATTAAATGTCTTTGGAGAAATTTCCCTCGTTATACCATTTTAAGATGGCTCACTAGATGAGAACATAATGTTAGCAGGATGTCAACATCCATTGACAGCAAAACATGAACCTAGTAGCTCTCCACGTATTGCATCTAATCAACATCAAAATAATGTAGCCAGTTGAAATTTCAACCAAGATTATCTGATCTCAACCCTTTAAGCACAACAAACCATTGGTGAAAGAATTCCATTCCTTAGCCCCCAAGGGCATCTCGGTTGGTTCTTGGCTTGTAGATTGTGGGCAAGAACAAAATATCAAGTTCTAGCAAACGCAGTGTGGGAGTTACACCTAATGTGGTCGACTCTTGTGGGCACCTGATCCTCCCACGGCTACTGAATCATTGTAATTTATCCCTCCACTATTCTATCGAACCAGGGTGTTGGACGGGGCGAGGGAATTTCACCTTTTTAAGGCAAGAATTCCATTCCCTATTTTATTGCATCCTCAAAAACACAGAACACACAGACAAAATCATTGTCCAAAATCTGCTGTTTTTATGTTTCATTCCCCAATATGATGCGTTTCTATTGCCTTCTTCTTCGTTCTTTTTTTTTTTTTTTTGGTTCACTCAAGACCATAAGAACCCAACCAAGCCGTCGTTCCTTCTAACCAAACACCCAATCACATCTTAACAAACAATTCAATCAAAAAACATCAATTTCATTGAAAAGATTCCACCTTTTTTTCTACCCTTGTTCTGAACCCACCACCAACATTCATCACCCGGCAATTACAGAAACATGAACAGAAAAATCAGAGCAAAAGGAATCAAATTGAAGCTTTCATCATTTGTGTGAAGCAACCCAGAAAATTAAAAACTTATATGTGTATGTACATTAAAAAAAAAAAAAAAAAAAATTGGTTTCCGGAATTCTAATGAAAATGAGTACCTTTGAATGATGCAGAAGAGGGGAAAAGAAAACGCAAAAAGAAGATTGAAAGGACGGGTCTTTGGGTCTCTTGCCGCCTGCTTCTTTCTCTATGTTTCTCGTTTGCCTGGGAAAAAAAGTCTTTGCTTATTCCTGTCGTGGATTCATTGGGTTTGAGACTTTGAGCTGTATCTTCTTTCTGGAAGCCGAGGGGCCCGAGTCATTATCCGTCCATAGCTAGCTGTTCTTGTAATGATAAGGACAATAGAACAAATATATTAAGATATTTTAAGGAAACGTAAATTAAAGAAACAGATATCTTTTCTCTTTGTTTTCGTAAACAAATGGAAAAATGTAACCGAAATGTTTTTTTAATAATATAGTACTCCGTATTTGTTTATTTGGCCAATTGCCACCGTTTGTGCGAATATACACCCTTGATTGGAAGCACAAGAAATCACATCTTTAAAAGTGGGTTTTTACCTATCATCATTTGTCAATTAAGATTATAAAACGATCTAGTGCACATTTTCAAATACTATTTGTAAATTTCTCTGTAATTTCATGTAGCGGTGACGAATTTTTCTTTCTTACCTAATAAAGATGAGTTTTTTTCCTTTTTTTTAATGATTAAAAAACATTGGCTAAGGTGAAATAGACATGAATAATTTAAATATAAATTCGGGGACTTGGTTATTGTATGAAAAGATAAAAATATAATTTTTAGGAAAAAGAGTTAAATAGGGCACTAAACATTACTCAAGAAGTCAATTAGGTCCTTAAACTTTCAAATGTTGCAATCAAGCGCTTAAATATATCATTTTAGAGCATTGAGACCCAAAACTCAGTTGGTGACCTATAATTACAGGTTTCCTTCGCAGGAGAAAGCAACCAAACGATACCGACGACGGTTTCACCGGTGTTATTTGCCGGAATATGGTTGGAAATTCGTCAGAGTTTCGCCGGAACCCTAGTGACCTATAATTATAGGTCACCAACCAGTTTTTGAGTCTCAATGCTCCAAAATGATATATTTAAAGGCTTAATTGCAACATTTGAAAGTTTAAAAGCCTAATTGACTTTTAGAGTAATGGTCAGTGGCCTATTTGATCATTTTGCTTAATTTTTATTAAATATAAACAATCATATGACGTTTACTATCACTAAAACAAAAAATGTACTTAAATGCATAAAACACAAATGTTTTTTTTTTCCATAAAAATGTTCTACATGGTAGATAGAAAAGTTGAACCAATCTTGTCGAAACATCAAACCAACCAAGATTAGTGTCGCAAACTCACATTCAATTTCTACTCTTTTTCCTAGTGGATAGTCTAACAATAACAATGACATTTATACTCTTCTCTTTTATATTTAAAACTCAACATTATAAACTATAATAATTGCCAAGACCTTATGGTCTAATGGCACCCGAGTTACACTCTCATATGAAAAGGAGTGGGTTTAAGTCTCAAAGGCGGCATTGACCCTTTGTGCTTCAGTTGATTGAGAAAGTAGTTTATGAATAGATACTACATTGTAATAGAGTCAGTAACATTAAAAAAAAACTATAATAATTTATGCCCTATATAATAAGTATGAAACTATAGCTAAATCAAAATGATATTTTAATTGTGTTATAATAACACTAAAAGTTGTGTTATAATAACATTACAGTGCACATAAAATGAAATTAAATACACCATAAAAATAATTAGTTGGATAAAACGGTCGAACGAGTGTAATTTCTTTTCATTAAAAAAATAACACCGGTTTAGACTATGGTCACAGTGAAATTTGGTGCAACTAAGTTGATGGGTTTCAGCTGGGCTTTCTCGTGGTTAAATTAAATTTGATTGGGCTTTAGAAGAATCTTTAGAATTCAGTTTAGCGGCCCATATCCCAACTTCAAGCCCAATCACAAAACCATTTGAATAAGAAAACCCGAAATATATCACTCTCTGGCGCTGGAAGAGACGAAGACTGAGAGAAAAAAAGCAGCTGAACTTGCCGTTGATCGGATCTGATTTTCCGACGTCTACTCCGCCGGAGCCTCCGTCGTCGAACCGGCCGCCGCAGCGAGATGTCGGTCTCAGCAGTTCCCAAGCTAGCCACCACCATCCACATAACGGCGCTGGACGGGATAATAAACGTCAACTCTCTGTTCACATTTGCGGTTTTCGTCGGCCTAGCTTGGAACCCCCGAGACCCGAACAACCGCCTCACCGACGACCCGAACTGTCTGGCCGACCCGAAAGTCGCCGAGAATCTCGTGGCGTTCCACGTCTACTCCTTCGCGTTCTTCCTCTTCTCCAGCCTCGTTGCACTGTGCCTCAAGCAAGCAATCCGACTCGCCAAAACCGCCCATTACCCCACCATTTTCACCCTAGACTTAGCTCACGTCAACAAGAGCGCCGTCCGGGTCGGCTACCTGGTTTGCGCTGCCGGCTCGGTCTGTGGCTGCGTCTTCTTGATGCTTGCTTTGATCAATGTGGTTCAGATCAAGCTCGGAACTTTAGGGTGTGGGAGTAGCCATAGCTATGGAGCTGTTATCCCCCTTGTAACCTTTGTGCCCTTAGGGCTCATCATCTATGTTTGCACTATCCTCTATGCTTTCACTCGTTAACATAATCCCAGTCATTAAAAGTTTGATTTGTGTGTATTATTAACAAGCTTTGATTTTGGGACATTGTTGTATAATTGTGTTGTATTGTATGTTGTTCTTTATAGATATCTCAGATCAGTCTCTTGTTTTAAAGGAAAAGGGTATAGAATTTGCCCTCAAATTTCAGTTTTGATGAAGTGTTTGTGTATTATAGTTTTTGTTCTTTCTTTCCAGAATTGCTGGATTGAATATTTGAATGCAGTTTGTGGATTTGGGAAATATTCTCTAGATATGGAAGCCATAAAAGCTTGATGCTTTTCACACAAGAAGGGTGCAAATGCTACTATTTGCAGTATATCCTGCATTGGGGTATAGAAATTAGGATAGAACCCTGAATTGATTCTATGCTGTGATGAGAAGCCAGAGAATATTTCATGAAGAAACATTAATGTTTGTTTTGCTCAACTTATCTTCAAACTTACTATGTAATCTAAAAAGTAAAATTTGGGTTAAGAACTAAAAATATAAATTGTTTTTCATAGTACACATGAAGAAAATCCCGTTTTTTTCAAGAAGCCTTACAACCTTAAGGGCAACCAGTGCAGTATTAACTGATTGTGCACTTAATATTTGCTACTTAAATGCCAAATATCATTCATATATTACGTGTTCAATTCCCTGCCTCGTTTTGCAGCTTATACATTGTCTTGAAGATTGAAGATCGGGACTGCAGACTTGGATTTATGAAGCTCTCTTCCAGTAATATCTCAGTGCTAGAGTTCTACATCTGGTTAGTTACGACGATATCCTGTTGTGTATAAAATTATTGTAATAAATTCTCGATGCTTTCTCATCTTTACATTTGAAGATATTCTTACCCTCTGGTATAGATAACATGCCATGCCTTGCTTTGTACGATTCCATCTGAACTGTCTCTCATTGAATTTAGGTACATTGAACAATTGACACCTTTTAATTCTTTCACGTCTGAAGTTCATATAGAAGTTTCAGTGGGATATATTCTTTTCTTTTAACTTTTAAACCATGGTTAAGTTTAGAGTCACATGGTCGAGAATAATTGTATTAAGGCTAGAATATGAAAATGTTATTCAATTATTGATTTAAAACTAGCTGTTGTATCAGAGAAATAGACTGTGATTTTGAGGAGGACAATTACTAGGAGTACAAGAAAGTTAGATTAGACGAGATAACCAGATGTAGAGTTCTTTCTGATTAAAAGAACTCGTGTTACAAGTAACGAGCTAGTTGACATGAGTATGAAACCATGAAAAAGTAGAGGGAAACAAGGTGTTCTATGAGAGATTATTATGACAACCCTTGCTGTTATGTGATTCCCGTTAAGACCTGCTTGTAAATTCTTGGCTTCAGTAATATAGCGAGCCTGCAAAGGCAAAAACGTTATAGTTAAATATTTTGCCAAAAATAGCACTTTAAGAAGCCTTCCAAACAGTGATACCTTGCCACCAGTTTCCCCTAGAAGCACAGTTCGAATTGTTTCCATTCTGGTCATCTTCTCCCCCGTCTTTCTTGAACTGCTCGAGTGTTAAACAGGCCAAAATGAGAACACAATATGCTGAGGAAAAAAATAGGGGAAGTAGTGTACTTAGAATTTAAGCATGTGCTCCATCTCAACTAAAAGCCTAAGCTGATAGTTGGATTGCACATTAATGGCTATAGGCTCAACACTTAGCACTTACAGTATGCTGAGAGCTAGTGGTCTGAGTGGGTGGTGGATAATTATCTTGGCCACCATAATATATTGATGAGCTGAAATAGCACGGTTCTGATGATTCGGTGTGATAAACCGAATTCTTGTCCTTGCTGTCCCAGCCTCGTTGTTCATGATCTGGAAATTTGGAGCCACCGCTATGGTTAGAATACTTCATGAACATGTAAGTATGCATTAGTAGGATAGAAAAAGTTTTCGCAAACCTGGATTTCCATATCTAGCATTGCTGTATTGACCACCTGAATTCTGGGTTCTTGATGAATCTATTACCCCAGACTGACTGCTCTCCCTTCCCTATCACAGAAGCCGAAAAACAAGAAATCAGAACTCTCTGTAAGAAGCTTGCAAGAGGGTAAGTAAAGAAGAGAATAATACCATAGATGATGGCCCGAATACAGATACAAAGAGCCCTGCAGACGAGGCTGAGGATTTGGAGCGGTCTTTTGGACCAAAGAGGTCTGTGGTAAAGGAAGAAGATGATGAAGTATGAGCTCCAGCTTGCTGCTTATTGTAACTGTGACTGTTTCCCTTCTCCATAATGCTATTACTATAGTCAACCAACAGACTAAACTACCTCTCAGTTATAGTATTCTAGGACGCCTTTTTAACGACCCAAGAAGCCTCACACTTACCCAGAAAGATATTGATAAGATTACTGCTCTGACTTTTACAGAGACAGCAGAAAGAAGGAGAAGAAGAAGAAGAAGAGGAAGGATGGAGGAGCAGTGGTGAAAGAGGAAGAGAGCACGTGAAAGTTCTGAGCTTTGGTGTGAGGGAACAATGAGGCCATAATTGGCTATTTATAGACACCACAAAAGACAGGCATTTACACTCTCTCTCTCTCTCTCTCTCTCTCATGGCTCTGTATCATCCCCATTCCCTGAGCAGTTCCACACTTTCATTCCATTTGGTCAAAGCTTCCCCTCTCCCCTCAATCTCTTCTGCTTTCTGTCTTAACACACACATGGGTCATTTACTTGGGGACAAAGGGCATGTTATCATGTCCACAGTTTACGCCTCCAACCATCCAAAAAATTTGGGTTAACATCTAGAATATAGAATAGGTGCTTCGGGGCAGAACTCTACTGGTGTATCAATTCAAAGAGAGTTAATAGCTTTGTTTCTTTGACAGTTGTAGGTTGGTGTACAAGTACTTTTAGAGAACTGTGGGCACATTCTGCGATTTACTGCAAGAGCAGAACTCAACACGTGGATCATTCTAAAAGAGTTGATTGAACAATATCGTAGGGTATAAGCACCTTTGGGGAACTTGTAGGCCGTGGATGCACACTCTGTAGATTTACTACAGGAGCAATGAGGGAGTTAATAGCTCTTTTTCACTGGTAGTCGCAGAGTAGTGTGCAAGCTACCTTTGCAAGTACCACTGTTGAGATAGATTCCGCAATTTATCTTTTGGTGGGAGTCTTTAGGATTGGTATGCCATCCTTTTAGAATTTAAAATTGATAGATTTTATGCTAAGATACCCTATCCAATAACTTTTTCTTTATTTTTTTTTAAAAAAAATAAAAATTGCGCTTACTTTTCATGAAAAACACAAGTTGCATAAAACTCTTATTTATCAACTGACTTTATAATTCTTTATATTCATCCGTCACTAACAAACCGCGTAAATAATCAAATAAAGTCATGACAATAACTCGAATATTATCATTTTCAACATGGTTGATGACATTCTTGTCTGCTCAAAGATTTCCTAGGTTGTTTGACCAATGTTTGACTTGATCTTGATGTATCATCTTGTGAATGAGAGAATAGTGGGGAAGGAAAGGGGCATGTGAGGGTGGGGAAAGAGTAGACCCACAGACAGATAATTAGATAAATGGATAAGGTCACTCTTTCTCAACTTGGGGTTATTCTCTTATTATTGCACAAATCAACAGTTGACTCTTTGATTGTTCCATTCATACCCTCCAAAAATAAATAAATAAATAAATTAGATTAAAAAATTTATAACCACCGAACATTCCATCAAGAGGAGCAGATATTATCTCTTGTTCTTCCAGTATATATTTCTTCTTCTGAGAATCTTGGACAGAGAATATTTTTATTTTGTTGAAAGAAAAAAAATATCATGTGATGAAGATGCCCAAAAGTCAAAGCTCTCATTCCTTTTTTTTTTTTTAATTATAGATAATTCATGCTTTCGAAACTAAACACGGGACTATACACTTCTGCGTAATGTTTGTGGCAGAGGTCGAACCCCCACCTTATAGTTAAAAACAAATTCTAAGTGAGACTTCTCATTTACTAAATCCAATATCCTGTGAACAAGTTTTCATTTCCTTAGTCATGTATATGTACGAAAATGATATCTTGATTTCTGGAGAGTAAAACTTTTACTATGCATCTCGATTTTTTATTGATAGAATGAAAAGAAAGTAATAAAAATTGTGATCTGTTCTTTTTTGTTGAATGAATTAACATGTCATGTATGTCGCAAATAAAATATAGAGAAAATTGAAAGTATGTGTAATATGTATATTTGTTTTTAGTTGGAGAATCTTTTGTACAAATCCATAGTTGTTGCAGTCAAGCACTCCAGGATATGTCCAGAAGACTCCCCATGTCAAAATTCATATTGTTCATTGAAGTTCAATGAATGGCTCATATGATGACACTATGTATGGTCCAAGTATTTTTATTTGATGAGCTATGATTGAGATTCTTCTAATTATTCTGGTTTCTAATAATTTCTATAGATTTACCGGTTAAGATTATTTATTCTATATGAATGGTTATAAAATTTTTGTCACACATAAAAATTATTGATCATATTTTTTCTGATAATTCTTTATCTCCTTTCGTGTCTATGAAAATTACAATGTAATATGATCGTTTTTATTGAAAATTGATCTAAAAAAGCAATGGGATAGGGAGGGGGTGGAGGGAATCAATGCCAATATAGCAACCAAAAAACACTATATATAGGGAATCAACTAGCATGTTCTGAGATGAAAGTACAGTCATTTGATATCTCCATTATTGTATGATCTAAGATTCACGTACTATGAACAAAGTTGTCCACTATTTTTTTTTTTTGAAAGTACGAGCATTTGATATCTCCACTACTGTATGACTAATTCAGATTCTCTTCTGATTATGCTTGTAAAGCTTGACTCTTATTTGAGAAAAAGTCTAATCCGATCAAAACCTCTTCAACATAGTATAACTTGGTGTATCTTTACTTGCTCGATCATCAGTTCACAAAGTTGTAATTCATGACAATTAAATGATGGTTTTGTAATGAATATATTACTGATCCCTTGACCAATAATATCAAAATTTTCCAGAAACACACAAAGATTGTTGCATTTAACTCAAAACCATTCCTCCTTCTTTAATCAAGGGAGAGGGGAATGCAAAAGCAAGACACGCTAGCTAGCTTCTCGCTTCAAAAATAATATAACGTCTCAAAACACCAGCGTTCTCCTTCGACACACTAGCTTCTCACTCCATATAGTACCCCATAAAAGTTGTTCTCACAAGCCTATCAAAAACTCCATTGGCGTCGAATCATGGCAATTACTAGTTAGATAATTGATGGTATGAGGACTTCCACTTGGCAAAAGCAAGCCATCCTAGAGCAAGCTTAGATAGATAGATACACTTGAGACTTGACCATTACATCTCAATCCACCATAGCCATAATGCATCCATAAAGATGAAGCCTACTACTCAATCCCCTTCCCCTCACCTACCCCACCCACCCCTACCTCAAGAAGAGTAGTGTGGCCATGAGTTATCCATTTCATCAAGGTCCCAATCCATGGATATCTAGAGCTGAATTCCCATTGGATTCTTTTAGTAAGTATTGGTGGAGCCAAGATAAGATACAATAGTGCCTAATCATTTGGCCCTTAGAACATAGCCATCTTTTTCCTAGTAGAGTCCTTTCATATATATATCTTCAGGCTCCAAAGATTGGAATGATTTGTGCTGACAACACTTGTAAAAGGATTTTTCCAGGGTAGGCTTCAGGTTATACTAATAGGAAGACTATGACACATCATTATCATATATAGATGGCATGAAAATGACATCACTTATTTTTTTTCGATCACTATTACAATTTTTTGCCATAAAAATCTCATTTCACAGATCGAGCATAAGATATTGTATCTATTGGAATTATTATCTATAAGCATTTTAAACACCAGCAATGCCAAACAAAAACAAATGTTGAGAACAAGTGAATGAAGTGAAGGAATGGTTTGATAAGCATTGATTAGTATTGATAAGGCTGCTAATTATCATGTCTATCCATCATGGAAGAAGTGCAATTAATTAATCAAAGCTTATCTGAACTTAGGGGCAGCAGCTATTAGCAGCAAAGGCAATAGTAAAAGGAGTACAAAAAACAAGAAGTGGATAATGCTCGAAAGATCCTTAATTATCTTGATCCTATTTGGTCGGATTTGATTTGATTCTGGTACATGTTAAGATATGGGATCACCAAAATTAGCAAAGTTTTTTTACTGTTCGGACAATGGGATTCCCATAGTGGTTGTAAGCTAGAATTGGTAAACGAATCATTAATTAAGATGGACAACAAACAACGTAATTATGTTAGTTTTTTTTTTTTTTAATGACGAGAAAAATTCGTAATTACTAATTTATTATTTAAGATTGTGTATTAGATAAAAGATTTTGTGTGACGGAATTCAATTAAGAAATTGTTAACACAAATCAAATTGATAACTTTTTGACTAAATATTACTTTATTTATTATTTAAAAAAGTTCGAGGTACTGTATCTATTCATCTATACTTTTCTGACTCCACTAAGACTCGATCTTATGTCCTCCTATATGGAAAGTCACTACATGTCATCTGAGCACAAGGTGTTTGACTATTAAAAAATTATTTAAAATAATAATAAAAATAATGCTCATCAAATAAAATACACTAAATTATATCATAATTAATGAATACATATATTAAATCAATTAAAACGGGAGAAAAATCTCACCATTCATAAATAATAAGTTGACTATATCCAACAAATATACATTAAAATTCATAAATTCATAAATGTGTAGTGTTGGAAAGGTTAAGTAGATTCTAGAAGCTAGATAAAAGCTTTCAATTCCTAATAAATAAATATATATTTTTTTGTATTAAAATAGTCCAAACACCAATGCTAAATGAAAATTCTAAAAGATTAGTGTTTTTACGTTTCAAAAATATTTTATCATACAAATTTATGAAAATTTTATAAAATATTTTAAAATCATTTTATAAAATATTTTATGTGTTTCATATATTATGTTCCACGTTTTCTCATTTTTCATTTTCATGCAACCTAGTCCAACACATGTTATTATGTTAATTTCTCCCAATTATATATCCATCAATTATATTAGATTCTAGCTAATTTAAAATTAAATAATTATTTATTTTATTTAGAAGAATTAAGCTCTTTGCCCGTTATCCATTTCACAAGACTTTTGAATCGGGTTGCTGATGAACTTGCGGCTATGGACAGGGAGTGAGACGTTGGGCTACGGTTTTTTAAATCACCTCCGCCTGAGATCATGGATTTAGTGTCTCTTGACAAGATTGGCGCATCTTCTTCCCGTAGAATTCATCGGGCTTCTTGTGCCGAAAGGGTGGTTTGATTTGTTTTTTTAAGGGTATCCCCCTCCGTTTAGATATTAAAAAAAAAAAAAAAAACAACAACAACAAGACTTTTGAATTGGAGGTTTTATTTACTTTTTTTTAAATCAAATGTTCTCAATAGTATATTTTTCTTTTTTAAAAAATATTTAGAATGTAATAAAAGTAGGATTGATGTCTCTTTAAGTAAATAAGTCATAATGCACATGAACCAAATAATAGTAATAGATTCCAATCAATTAACTAGTTAAGTTTTTGTCTCACAAGCCCAATACTTTTTTTTTTGGTGATAAGGAAAACTCACAACGATTACTTAGTGTAAGCGCTAGATAAACTCAACTCCTATGTAATAGTCATCAAACCAGTGAAACTATACCAGAGAGGTAAATCGCATTAAAAAGATCTTGTGTTACAGACTTGACCGAGAAAATAATGTCAATAATCGAACTCATGACTTTCTGTTCTAAGAATCATGCTCTACTCCTTTTGGAGCTACTATTTCTTTTTAATATAACATTCAAACTTTTTTTTTTTTTTGACGGATAGATAATAGTCTATTACAAAATAAATTCGTCATGTTATTTAACATATTTTATTTTGAAAACTAATTACTTATAACTACTCAAACTATAATTAAGCTTTAACTTTCTAGAAAGCCCGACAATCATTACCCAAATGTACACTCAAACTAGAATTTAACTGATATCTCAGGATTAGGATTGCATTCCGTGCGAACCAAACAGAACCTTAGGTAAGTGCGACACCTCTGATTATGCCCATGTTACAGGCCGTTGAAGTTCCTGTTTGTTCGTTATTTCTGTTTCTTGAGGTTGTCACTTTGTAATTTGGGAAAAAAATTTCCGGTCCTCTTTTTCCTAAACTCTCTCTGCGATTCTTCCACCAAAATTAGGCCCATTTCCGTCTGTTAATGGTGAGTATATCAAACAAACTGCCATTCATTTCTTCTTTTTTTTTTTTTTTTTTGTTCATATGATCATAATATGCATATTATGTTTCGCGGTGGTGTTGATCCGTGTTGTTGGTAGGTGAATCTGGTGACAGAAAGGAGGAAGCGATGTCGTATAAGGTGGATCATGAGTACGATTATCTATTCAAGATTGTATTGATTGGAGATTCGGGTGTGGGGAAATCTAATATACTCTCCAGATTTACACGAAATGAGTTCTGTTTGGAGTCTAAATCCACCATCGGCGTCGAATTTGCCACCAGAACCCTCCAGGTTAGCTTGAATTTTTGTGCAGTTGATGGGCTATTTTAGATATTATCTTGAAATTCGTGATGATAGAATATTTTAGATGTTATTTCGAAATTTGTGATACAATTTTTGTTGAGTGATGGAAGATGCCACCACCCCCAACGACCTTGCTTTGTGACTCTTAGGAGGTAAATCACCTGTCCAAACCAAGAAAATTGGAATTGAGCTTGTAACCAAATCAAAAAGATCGCTCCTGGTGGGAGTTAAATTTGTAACATTGTAAATACCGTTGCCTATAGCTGATCGACTCAAACCCAAAAAGTCAATAGATCAAAATTTGGCCAATAAGTTACTACTTCATTGGGAGTTAAAAAGTGTTGCAAAAATTCCGCCTAGGCTCGGCCTAGGCACTAGGCGTCCTTATACCGTGGCGATTTCTCACATAGGCTCCCGCCTAACGCTTAAGTGCCCAACTCAGCCGAGTTAACTCGTTCATTTCTGTCGAGTTAGCCAAGTTAACTCGGCCGACTATATATATATATATATGTGTGTGTATAACATGACATATATGCACTTACACGTGTGCACTGTTTTTCTTTTTTAGCTAGACGCCGTTTAGGCGCTACTCTACCATCTGGCTAGTGCCTAGCGCCTATTGCAACCATGCTTATAACCTTGTAGTTATCATCGTAAATTGGGTTGGGTTAGCCCTAATTGGTGACGGAATTTGATGGTGCAGGTGGAGGGGAAGACGGTGAAAGCACAAATATGGGACACGGCGGGGCAAGAGAGATACAGAGCCATCACGAGCGCATATTACCGAGGAGCCGTGGGGGCGCTGTTGGTATACGACATAACCAAGAAGCAAACCTTCGAGAACGTGAGCCGGTGGCTGCGCGAGCTCCGGGACCACGCCGACAGCAACATCGTCATCATGTTGGCCGGGAACAAGTCGGACCTGAACCACCTGCGGGCGGTGGCGGATCAGGACGCGCGCCAATTGGCCGAGAAAGAAGGCCTGTCGTTCCTGGAAACCTCGGCGTTGGAAGCCTTGAACGTGGAGAAGGCGTTTCAGACAATCTTGTTGGATATTTACCAGATTATTAGCAAGAAAGCCCTGGCGGCGCAAGAGGCGGCGGCGGCGGCTCCCGGCCAAGGCACTGCCATTAACGTTGCAGACAACAATGCTAACGCAAACAAAGGTTGTTGTTCTGGCTAAAAACAGGTTTCCACCATGATTGACAGTAGAATATCTCAGAGCTTTATAATGTTAGATAAACAGACATTCTTGGTTAAATTTTGTAATCTTTTCCACACAAGTTTGAATGTTCGTTGTAATTTTCCTTCGATTTCTACTTTCTTAATCCTAAATCCTAATCTCACTGGCCACAGAATTGATTATTATATCACATAAACCAGAAATTAATATCAATATCTGTCTTTCATTCCCTTTGTGTATTAACAAACATCATCATCTACGTCGAAAAAAAAAAGTTCTTTTTTTTTAAAGGATTCTGCAGTTTCTGCATACTTCTGCATCTGTTTTCTTGAATCCCCAGACAAAAAATAATGAAGGGTATTCCATGATCTCTGACATGCCCAAAGAAGAGCAGATGATGGGGAAAAAGGCAGATTTATATGGGAAAAGTGCCGGTAAGACGAATGTGTTCCAAGGTACTTCTTAATCCATATTTGTTCACGGCTACATGAGCTGCTCTGAAGCCTTCTCCATAGGCGGGGGAAGCGTCGTTTAATATCTGATGCTTGAAAAACTCGCCCAGCTTGTTCTCCGTGCCAGACCTTCCACCTTTCTTGGAAGAAGACGATGAGGATGATGATGAAGCTGTTGATGTCGATGGCATATTTCTGTATCTGGTTGGCATCACCTCCGACTCGAGCCACATGTGGGAAAGCACCTGGCAAATCCCTTCTTCCACTTGAGGGTTGAGATTGCGATATCCTACAAAGAATCAAACTGAACTATCTTAACATTGTGATTTCTAGCGTTTTCAAATCTTACAAGTTTATGTTTACCTTTCAGACGTAACCAGGCATGCATTAATTCGTGTGCAAGAATGGCGCCAGTCAGTAATCTGCATCGCGAAGAACATGAGCAAGAGGGCATAGGACCATTTGGGATTTATAGTATAAAGTTAGGGGGAGTATTATTATTACCTTGGGAGACCGTATAAGACTAAGATCGCTGTAACTTCACATCTTCGAGGTAGTCTCTGAGGCTGTGTACGCATTCCTACAAATCCACGGCCACCCATTCTTGGTCTTCTCTGTATCTGCAGATTGCTCAAAGAAACGATATTAACAACAAAAAATCGCCAAAAAGTTTACTAAGCTAGACCATAGATGGCATACACTGCTAACTGTCTGCTCCTCAGACAGGCATAGGCCTCTGGTTTCAGGCATGTGGTGGAACCCCTATAAAATTTTCAATTCAAGAGTCAGAAAACGTTTTGAGAGTCGAGACACAAAGAGGCAGAAGAGCAAAGAAAGGTAGAGAACGTTCGTTCATACATGTTTCTCCCCTTCGATAGCTTCATTTAGGGCTTGTCTTTCGACGAGGAGCATAGGAACCTGCTGATCTATTCTCATGTTCATGCCCTCGTAAAAGTCTCTGATGGAATGGTAAAGCGGTTGGCAGTCCCCCGTGTCCATGATAGCAGATTCCATGCACTCCAAGCATAAGCTCCGACCATCTCCAAGCGATACGTATCTCGCATCCCATGACTTCAGCATAAACAACAATTACATCACAAAACAATGCATGGTTTCACGGATTTTTGGGCGAGATTTTTTTTTTACCTCCAATCGTTCACAACTGCAGCAGCGTGCAGTGTTATCATGCTCATGTGAAGGACAATATTTCTGAGACCAAAAGGGGTGGCATCTATACTCGATCAAGCCAGATCCATTTGCTGGGATCTGAGAAATATCGATGTGGATAATAAAGACAAGAACGGAAGCATTGTTTCTGGTAAAAAAAGAATAAAATGCAGAAGCTCCATATCCATATTCTTACAAATTGATGGCAGACTTCACATCTAGGATGAGTCAGTTCTTTGAAGCACGACTTATGGTACGACTTATTCCCTGACAGAGAAAACTTGAATCAACAAAGAAAACTAATAAGAAAGGACTCATAAATATCGAGTTCTAATAAAATTTCCAAAAGCAAATCATATTAGCAGCCCGCATACCTCATGTTCGGTGATAGGGTAACCACACGCATGGCAACGAAAGCATTCTGGATGGAAGAAAGTCCCCATGCATCCCAAATAGTTGCCAAAGCCAATTTCCCGGTGGCAACCACCACATACCCTGACATTACAAAAAGAATCACTGCTAAAACGAGAGAAAAAACAGTCTAGATTAAGACGATACATTGCTCGAGTAAAAACTACCTATAGCCTCTTGGAGAATAATCCCTCGGGGCATATGAAGGAGGATACGGGGGAAATGTTGACGAGTTAAGCCCACTGCCACGTGTTGATGAATTAAGCCCATTGCCGCGAAGTGACCTTGTTACATCTTCATCATTGTCTGCCCTCCATCTGTAGCCTAAAAATGGAGAAAAATCAGAGCTCCTCTGTTGAGCATATAACCATTAATGTGCAATCCAACTATCAGCTTTAGGCTTTTAGTTGAGATGGAGCACATGCTTCAATTTCCTCTACACAAAACAAATAGGGCAAAACAATAGACCAAAACCAGCATGCAAACAACCATTGTTACCACTAGGCCTCTTCAAACCTTCAGCCAGAGAAAGCGCAATTGCACGCTCCAATTCCTCCCTTTCCTTGGCTCTAGACCGTTCGTCCTAGAATGTAACATGCAAAACAATAACAAGGTTAACAACATTAAAACTCAGGACTATTGCAAATTCTTGCTTTTACACAGACCCTAGCCCAAAAAGACAAAAGCAAGTCAAGAAAAACAACCAAAAAGGATAAGCTAATGGATTATGGATGTCTATTCACTTATTTATCTCAGCAAAGCATATATGACTTTCCAACACAAGAAAAGTAGCAGTTTCCACTCATGACAGTAACATATGACAGAACTGACATTAACAATTTAACATTGTACAGTGCTTAAATCCCACAGTCAATGAAACACAAGGATAACAACACAGAAATTACCATGGATCTAATTGGAGTACGCCAAACCATGTTTTCTTCTCCTAGAAACTGAGGCTGCTGTCCACTAGCTACACTCTTACTAGAACTGCCTTTGAAAAGCTTACTCAACCATTTCATAAATCTGGATTTCCGTTCTGTGCGGGGAGAAACAGAGTGCCCTGCTTAAACCCCACAATCATATTAGAAACAAAAACCATTCTTTACCAATAAAGCAACATACTCAAAAGGGTGGGTACAAAACTGCATAAAGATGCAAGCTTTGAGTCAAACGTACCATAAATGCAAGGCTGGGAGAGATGGCTGAGACTGGTTGAAGAAGACATGGGGGCAAGGGGGGTGGAGCTCTATGTATAGTGGAAGGTTTTCCAGTTTTACGAGAAGCCGAAAAGGGCAAGTATGGAACGAAAAGGACTCTGGGAGAGGGAATCGGGGGAGTGGGGAGAAAAAGAACGGAAGAAAGGGGAGGAGAGAAGAACAATGGCATCGTTGATAAAGGTAAGTTTTGTGAGAAAGAGAGAATCTGTGAGGGTGGAAGAGATTCTTGGCTTGGCGGAAAGAAGTGCAGAGAAATATAAATGGGGAATCTGCTGAGGCGGATTGGGGATGGAAAAGGGGAAATTTGGGGGAAAAGATGAGACTGCAAATCGAATATTTGGACGGCTGAGAATTGGAGATCGAGATGGGAAATTTGAGTTTGCAGTACTAAAAACATTCAAGAATCGAGAATTTCTTCTTACTGCTTCTTCGTTCTTGAATGTTTTTTGAAGGGAAAGTTGCCGGGTAAAAGTTGGCTGGGTTTTACAACTTGCACTTAATTATTTTGCCTACACCACATCCGGTGAGCGTTTTTTTATATTTCAAAGATAATTGTCCATAAAATAAAGAAAGGTGTTTGAGGCCAGCACCGATGTAACTTACGGAAAAATGACTGAAATGTAAAGAGAGATGCATTCATTTCTCAAAATGTGTCTTCCTTTTTTATGGATAAAAATGACGTTTGAGAGATGCGTTTGTTGTCAGAATTAGTCAAACACAAACACATCTCCCACTTGCGTTTGTGTGTGTGTGTGTTTTTCTTTTTTAATTTAATCGCCGGTGACACCGGTCACCGATTTCTCCAGCGAAGGAGGTGGCCTTCTCCTTTTCTGGAGAAGCTGGCGACACCAGTTTGGTCGTTGGCTTCTCCAACGAAAGAGAAGACCACTGGTTGCAAAGGTTTCACTATTTAAACTCGTCATTCTAACAATTTTCACGTTGATAGGGCACTCTCACAAAACTCGGTCTTCGTCCAGTCAACATGTTGGGCAACCTCGAAAGCCGATCTTGCCCTCCGACACTGCCTCATATCGAGCCCAGGATCGAGAACGTAATCCAACCTCCGTTCATCTCAATATCCTCCTCGCTTGCGCTTTACTCACAGAACTAGGCCCAATATATCCATCAACAAAACTTAAAGAATCTAAGATTAATTATCGAATTGAAATTGATTAATTGTTTATTCCATCGGCTCAAGTGAAACCCACAAAATTTGATGCCTCTACTGATTGTTCGAATGGACAATTTAGCTTATCTATTAAGGTGTTTTCAAAAAGTTTAAAAAACCATGCAATTAAAATTATCATGGTACCCGGGTTGGACTTCCATTTGGAAGGTTGTGAGTTTGAGCCTCAGCAGAGGTGTTATTAGCTCTTTGTGTTTCAGTAGGTTGAGAAAGTATATGAACAGATACTACAATGTAATAGAGCTAGTAGCATTCAAAAAAAAAAAAAAAATTATCATTATTATTATTATAACAATTTTATTTACTTCAATTGAATCATCTTATCGAACAAATAATTAAAAAACAATCGAATCGTTTCAATCAATAATCTAACCCGTTAACCTGATCGCTACCAAATATCACAAGTCCGAATCATATTGTAACAAAGTAATGTGAAATGAAATAACCAAAACCGTTCGCCAGCCAACATTTTATATTCTCAAGCAATTTCATTTGTCCCTTGGCTTGTTCCCATTGATTTGATGATGTGATCCATTACTGACAACCTTTAATTTCATCATATGATACCAAATTAAAGCTCCTCAACAATCCAACAACGTAACCCCTCATTACACCGCAACTATGGAATCTCAATTGCTCCAAACTCATTAACTTGTTGGTGACCTGTACACTACTGAAAATTCTGAAATTTTCGACCACCTGAAAGTTATCTTAAATCAAGTCGAAAGCCTTGTTCCGACCACTTTTAGTATCTGGAAAAACCCTTGTTCTATTTTCGACCACTTTTTTCATTCAACTTGATTTAAGATCACATTCAGATGGTCGGAAATTCAATAATTTCCAGTAGTGGTAATTGCTGATCAATTAGGTTTCCAGCCAACTCCGACAAATATCTGACCAAATTCCGGCAAGCTAGTTTAAATACCAACAATCGGCGACCGACACACGTTCTGACGGAGAAGGTGACCAAATTAGCATAACAAATTAAAAAAAAAAGAAATCAACGTTTCTAATCTCTCGGTCACAAAGCAATAAACTGTCAGAAATATTTTACTTTTTAGTGGGCATTATATTTCCCATAGTTTTGATAACTTAATTAATTGACTTTGCCTCTTAGCTTTACTTGACTTTGCCATGCACCACCTTTACTGAGGTATATTGGGCGACTGTATATGCATGCATGTGTGCTTGCAAAAGTGAAGAAGTTGAGCTATCAGAATCTGTACCCTAGCTAGCTACCTCTCTTTCTTTTCTTTTGTGTTGTCATTTGCTCATTCCTAACCCTAACGAAATACGCGTCAACTATTATATCACACAATCTACCACTCAAATACCTAACTAAAAATCTAAATTAAATATATATTGAGAGACATTTCTTATATACAGTCTTATAATTGATAAAACGTCCTATTCAAATATTCTGTATTCCTAAAAAACACATGTGGCAAAAAATTTATTGGCAAACAAGGAAGGCAGAAAGGGAAAAGGTATGTCGTATGATATAAGCAAAGTTTGAGGAATTGTATTCATATAAATATTGTTTTTTTTTAAAGTTATTATCGGATAAGTCTAATTACAATTTATGATATATAATTGGTAAGCGAACTAGTTACTAATAATTCAAGTGCTGGTGTGAGTTGTGAGCTATAGATTCTCCATATGAATTTAAATTAGTTTTATGGTGGTGAGAATATGAGATATTAGGTGTTTTATGTAAAAGAAAAATGTTATGATAAAAAATAATTAAAGTTTAATTGGGTGGTGGACAGGAAAAAGGTAAAACTTGTTGCAAGTTGGTAGACTTTGGGAAAGTGGATTCGGATATTATAACTTTAAAATTGTTTAACATTTGAAATGTTGGATGAGATCAACCACTAGATCATCATCTGTCAGTCACAAATGCCAATTAAAGTAAAGAAAGTTAAATCTACGTACAAATATGCTTCATTTTGTTTATGTATTTTGTGAATCTTTTATTGCGTCATCTTTATGACATTGTGCCATCATTTGATTCTTGTTTATATAAAGGCAAGCTCTAATGCGAACAAGTGTATAGAAGAAAAATAAGAACACATGACATCGGTTCACGTGTTTAAATTTAACAGATGAATAATACGGAGTATTAATTTTTTAAAAACGTGATAGTATTTTCGTAAATAATTGAACATCAAAGTGCAAGTAAATTGTCTTAAAAGTGCAAGTAACAATTCCATATAGTACACCTAAATGCAAATAAAATGTATTACAAGTACAAGTAAAATGTACAGTTAATATCATTATTAAGTGCACCTGACGTTATCATTAGTTGCACATAATGTTATCATTAAGTGCACCTATGTGGAATACTTTATTATTAGGTGCACGAATGTTAACAAGGTAAATTACTTGCACTTGTAAGTTATTTTACTTGCAAACTTGCACAAAAGTTCGAGTTATTTACAAAAATGTCACTACGTTTTTTTTATTTTTTTAAAATTACATTTGATTCGTTGATATGGGCACGTGGACGGCTGTAAGTAGTTCTTATTTCTCTCAGGCGCGTACCGTTCTCACCTGAACACAAACATGTGTGTGTGTGTGTGTGTGTATATATATATATATATATATATATATATATATATATATATATATATATATGTCCATAATCAGGTGCGAATTGACCTTAATGTGCGAACCTGCGAAGGATCGCACTGCACTTACTATATGATTGCAACGCACGTAAATACAATTGCACTGCAAGGTCATCTATACATGTTTGGGAGTTGTAGCGGTGTACTTATGTAGTAGTGGTGCAATCTTTTAAAAGTTTGTAGGTTCGCAGGTTAAGGTGAGTTATATATGATTATGATTATATATACACACACATAAAATAAGAATTATATATAGAGTATAACTAAGGGTAAAAGACACTCGTGAAATATTTACAAAATAACAATTATATGTTCAACATAGATAATTATTATTTTTGTTTGAAGAAAACATTGATAATATTTTTTTTTAAACATTGATAAATGCAATTTTTACATAAGGTATAACTCAAAGATTAAATATATCAATAATTTTTTGCATGACAAAAATTTATACTAGCTCATAGAAAATCTCTATATACATGTGATGAGAAGATTCGAAATTTCGAATAGAATAAGCCATCACCCAAACATTAGTAACAACAAATATAATAGAGTAAATACCAGCGGAGGTCCTCTAACTTTGGTGGCACTGTCACTTTTAGTCCTTAACTTTTAAATCAATCACTCTTAGTCCTCTTACTTTTTATTTCTAGCCATCTATGGTCCTTCCGTTAAACTTGATCATCTAATGCCGTTTTCTCAAGGATAATTCAGTCCTTTCATAATTAATTTATTAATTATTATGTTTGCCGAGTCATACCGAGATATCCCGACGTCGTTTTGGCACAACCTTCGTACCAGCTTTTGTACGTCATTTTGATTCACGAGCTGGTTTTGTACACGTTCATAGCTGGGGAAACCATTGTTTGACTATTCTGATGAGGAAATTAAGCATAATAATTAATAAATTAATTATTAAAGGACTAAATTATCTTTTAGAAAACGGCATTAGATGGTCAAGTTTAACGAAAGGACCATAGATGGCTAGAAACAAAAAGTAAGATGACTAAAAGTGATTAATATAAAAGTTGAGGATTAAAAGTGACAGTGCCACCAAAATCGGAGGACATCCACCGATATTTACTCAATAGAATACCATGTAGAAAATTCTTTGTCTTCATTCTCCATACACGTACTTGACATGTAGTGATGAGTCACGCACACTTGATTCCTCTAATATTATTTCTTCTTCATGAAAGGGGATAATATAGGGCATTATTAGAACCAGGCATGCATCACATTTAGAGGATATTGATAAAAAGATACTCGGATAGAGTTCAATTAACTAATTAATTAATTTAAACTCAGTTAATAAATTTAGCCTTATTAGCTAGCAGTCACATAATACATGGTTTAAATTTTACTAATGAGAGAATATAAATATATGTGCAACTTTAAAGTTTGTAAAACAATCTCATTATATGGTTTTTCTTTAGTTTTTGTGAGCTTTTGTGTCACATGGAAGAGAGAAAAGGAATGGGTGCCCCGCAAAGACCCAAGATTTTGCAGAGTCGTGGGCCCCACCAAAAAAGAGAGAGGCAGCCACAGCTCGCGTGAGACGCACAAAAGGTGCCTAGTCGGATGCGTCTTTTTTTTGAAATTTTTTTTTTTTTTTTGTTTATTTTAGTCCATACATTTTTTTTTCTCCC